AATAGGTGCAAAAGAAGCATTTGACAAAAGCCGGCATGCATTTATGATAAAAACTCTCAGCAAACCAGGAATACAAGGGAACATCTTCAACTTGATAATGAACATCTACAAAATACCAACAGCTAACATCACACTTAATGGTGAGAAATTCGAAGCTTTCCTGCTAATATCAGGAATAAGGCAAGAATGTCCACTTTTATCTCTGTTTTTGAATATTGTACTGGGAGTCCTAGCTAATACAACATGACAAGAAAAGGAAACAATAAAAGGAATAAAATGTATTCAGATTGAAAAAGAAATAAAATTGTCTTTGTTCACAGATGACATAATTCTTTATGTAGAAAATCTAGAAGAATTGACAAAAAATTTTAAAAAACCTCCCGGAACTAATACATGACTATAGCAAGGTTGTAGGATACAAGGTTAATATGCAGAAATCAACTGCTTTCCTTATACCAGGAATGAACACGTGGAATTTGAAATTAAAAACACACTACCTTATACATTAGCACCCCCCCAAAATGAAATACTTAGGTATAAGCCTAACGAAATGTGTACAAGATCTCTATGAAGCAAACCTCAAAACTCCAATAAAATATCAATATATCTAAGGAGAATAAAATAAATGGAGAGACTGCATGTTCATGGATAGAAAGACTCAATATTGTCAAGATGTCAGTTCTTCCCAACTTGATCTATAGATTCAGCACAATTCCAATCAAAGTCCCAGCATTTTGTGGACATCAACAGACTCATTCTAAAGTTTATATGAAGATTAAAAGACCCAGAGCAACCAATTCAATATTGAAGGAGAAGAACAGTACTAGTGAGGACGTGGAACAATAGGAACTCTCATTCATTGCTGGTGGGAAGGCATAATGGTACAGCTACTTTGGAAGACAGTTTGGCAGCTTCTTATGAAACTAAACATACTCTTACCATATGATCCAGTAATCATGCTCCTTGGTACTTACTTAAATGAGTTGAAAATTTATGTCTATGCAAAAACCTACACATTGATATTTATTGCACCTTTATTCCTAATTGCCAAAATTTAGAAGCAACCAAGATGTCCTTCGGTAGGTAAATGGATAAACTGTAGTACATTCAGACAATGGAATACTATTCACACTAAAAAGAGGTGAGCTATCACACATGAAAAGACCTGGAGGACATTTAAATGAGTATTTCTAAGTGAAAGAAGCCAATATGAAAAGGCTGTATGGATCCAAGTATATGACATTATGAAAAAGGAAAAACTATGGAGACAGTAAAAAGATCAATGGTCTCCAAGGTTTGGGGGTGGACGGTGGAGAGATGAATAGGCAGAGCATAAAGGATTTTTAGGGCAGTGAAACTATTCTGTATGATATCACAACGGTGGATATATATCATTATACATTCATCAAAACCCACAGAATGTGCAATACACCAAGAGTGAACCCTAATGTTAACAATGGACTTTGGGAGATAACAATGTGTCATTGTAGGTTCATCAACTGTAGTAAATACAGCCACTGTAGCGGATGATGTCAGTAGTGGAGGAAGTTGTGGATGGGGCCATATGGGCGGGAACAGAGGGCATAGTGGAAATCTCTGTCCTTCCTGCTCAGTTTTGCTATGAACCTAAAACTGCTCTAAAAAATAAAGTTTATTAACTTTCAAAAACTGGGTTATTCATGGACGTCATAGGCATGGCAACATAACTTTCTAATTCTTTTTCCTTATATTTTCAACTACCACACGTAATATTGTTTCTAAATGTTTGGACATTTGGAACAAAACCAATACATTATGTCTCAGCATCTCTACCAGCTGGTGGCTCCCTAAAGACAAGTCCCTATTCTCATAATCCCAGCAGCCAGCTGAGTCTCTAGCCCGGAAAGGATGCTAACCAAATATGCACTAAAGTCTTCAGGAAAGGCAATGGTGTATAGAGGAAAGAGAACAAAAGTAGGAGTTGGATTAACCTTTCTTGGTGATTTCCTAGGCCCCATGACCTTGGGCAAATCACACGTTCACTGACATTAATTTTCGGAAGCTATGAAATGATGATAACCTCATCTCTTCACAAAATTGTTGTAAGGACCAAGCGAGATGCGCCACATATAAAACTATTTTTAAATTGCAGAATCCTTTACAAAAATCAGCTACTCTTACTCATGGGGAATGAAATAGATACTAAATTAAAAAGGAGAGAAAAAGATGGGCTGGATGGAAAAAGGGAAATGAAAAAATTAAAGGGAAACAAAGATAAATTCAGTCATCACCACACTTGAAACAAGATTCTGTGCTTCTTCCTCCTTCCCTGCACACAAAAAACTGTGACAGCAGACACAGGTTTTCTCTCACATTTTCCCTAAGTTCTCATTCATCAATGTATCAAACATTTACTGAATACAAATAAGTACCAGGCCTTGAGCTAGGAAAGGGCACGAGGCCTAATCAGTGCCCTCAGAGAGGTCTGCGTCTAGTGGAGGAGGCATACAAGTGAACAGACTGATACAATCGAGGGCAGTCAAAGGCTCCCAAATGGAGCTGAGGGATTCTTGATGGGTTGGGTACAACCAGGGAAGAGGAGATGACAATCAGAGAAGGCTCTCTAGAGGAAAGGACCCTCCAGGATACATCTTGGAAAATGTAGTGGGTAAAGGAGGAAAGGGCAGTCTAAGGCAGAGGAGACCAGGCTATAGAAACAAAGGTACCGAATAGCAGACCTTATATGCAAAGGCTATGGAACCTTATTCCATAAGAGATGGGGATCCACTAAAGGGTTTTAAGTGGGAAAGATGGCTTGATCAGATTTATGTTAAGAAGCTTTACAAGAGGGAGGGGATATGGGGATATATATATATATATATATATATATATATATATATATATATATATATATATCTGA